TTGGCATTTGGAGTGCTGATTATCTTTGGATCTACATATTCGTGTGAGCAAGCATTCTCTTGCATGAATATAATTAAAAGTAAAGTAAGAAGCCAACTCACAAATAAAAATTTAGAGTTGTGTTTGCAACTAAAAACAACAAGTTATGAGCCAAATTTATCCAAACTTTCTAAAACCATGCAAAGCTCCCATTGAATTTGTTTGCTCAGATGTATGTTATTATTTTTTTTAATTTTAAGTACAAGTTACATTGTTTAGTAAAGTTTCAATTTTCTACTTCAATAACCATGCAAAGCCATAGATTCCCATTGAATTTGTTTGCTCAATTGTTTGTTACTGAAGTACAAGTTAGTGTTGTAAGTAAATGTTTAATTGTTTTAATTTTTTAATTAAATAATAAGTAATTATCTAATAATGCCATATATATATTATCTAATTTGTTGTGAAAAATACTATTTATATATGAATAAATAGATATTTTTTCTTATGAATAAATAGATACTTTTTCTTATGAATAGATTAATTTTTTTAATCAAAAAAACTTTATTTATGCTAGTACTATTTATTGTTGGCAAGAGAAAATTTTGTGGCTCTTTAAAAACTTTGAAATTTTGTAAATTGTAATTTTGACTCTTCCGACCCCTGGCACAGGTCATTAAGTGATGTACAAACAATCTTATCGTAGCTGAGAGAAAGATTTTAGATACCTCGTGAATGGAGGGTTGCTTGTGGGGTTATATCTGTTTGCATTCTATGTAAAAGACATTCATCTTAAGCCACAGTTACACAAACAGCTCCACTTCCATCTGAGAGATTGCACAGAATGGCCCCTTTTCAAGTAGTAGGCAAGGATCTAGCCAGTTCTATTTTCTTTCAGGAAGGGGTTAAGGCCTGGATTGTCCTATTCACCTGCACTGCATATCATGAAGTACATTTAGTTAATAAATGCATTGACCACTTCTTTTATTGCTATTTATTATTTTTTCCCTTCAAGCTTTTATTCTGTCATTGTGAAGATTCATGGCTAGAATAGGCAGAGTTTTGGTCATCTACACTAATAACAGAACAAATTTCATGTGCACATAAAAAAAAAAGGCTCTTCAAAGAAGGAATGTCATTCAAGAACATAAAATGGAATTTTAACCCACCAAGTGCACCTTGATACAGTGGATGATGGAAGCACATAATACACAGTATAAAAGATCTACTGAAAAGAATTCTTGGCAAAGCTAGTCTAAATTACAAGGAAATGTCAACGGTTTTATGTGATTGCAAGAACACAATCCATCAGACCGTTAACCTATTTGTCAAAGAATCCAGAAGACAGTACCGTTAACAATGGCCCATTTCCTACATGAAATTCCAAATTCTACTGATTGTGATAATCTTGATTTTGACACAATCAATGGAAGTCATTTGAAGATAAGGATACAATATTTTACCATTCTTGCAAAGAGTTAGAGCCTGTTTTTGAAAGAGATTCCAAAACGAATATCTGTCTGAGCTTTAAGGAATCTGACCATAAAGACAAAAAGTAATATTCAAGTAGACTTTCTTGTGGGATCTGATAGCTCCAAAAGAATTAACTGGCCTTTGGCTAAAATGATGGAACTATTAACAGGATGAGATGGGAAACAGTAAGTCGCTTGATTGAAATTAGCAAATACAGAAATTAAGCATCCTTTTCAGCAGTTATATCCCTTAGACATTGATTGCACTGTCAGATTTAACCCTTCATGACAAAGTTAGAAGTTCTTACATTAAAAGGGCCAAATTACGCCCTCAAAGGAAAGGTGTTTTGTGTGTGTGTGTGTGTGATTATGGCAAAGCCTCGAGGGCTATCTGCCTAAGGGGAGGGATGCCTTCGTGGAGGACTTTCTAAGGAAAACTGGTTCGTATACACATTACACATGGGGAAAACCACGAAAACGCCCATGCAGCCAGCCCGTTCGCGGGATTTGAACCTCGGACCGAACTACCAGTGTTCAGCGACTTTACCGCTCGGCCGCTGGTAGGCCCAAAGGAAAGGTGGAGATTTGTTACCCAGTCATGATGCTTCAAAACTGCATCTTTCAGGCTCGACATTATGCAGTGATAGAATTACTCTAAGTTCCGAAATAATATGCATTTGAAGAGGATGACAGAGCAGAAAAACCAAAAAAACAAACAAAAACAACAACAACAACAAACAAAAAAAAAAAAAAAAAAAGAATTTAAAACTACCTTACAAACATTGACGTCCATGTCAGATTGCAATTTTTAAAGAATAGTTCACTTTTGTCTCGTAATATTTAGATGTACAAAACAAACAAGGGGAGGACACTGCATATTCAAATTCGTTGTAATTGGCTTAAGAATTGAGTTTTACTTTGTAGATATTCACAAGAATGAGACATGTTTTAATATAGAGAAAATGTTTTATGAGTAACTTGTTTTATGAGTAACTGGCCTTTGGCTAAAATGATGGAACTATTAACAGGATGAGATGGGAAACAGTAAGTCGCTCGATTGAAATTAGCAAATACAGAAATTAAGCATCCTTTTCAGCAGTTATATCCCTTAGACATTGCACTGTCAGATTTAACCCTTCATGACAAAGTTAGAAATTCTTCCATTAAAAGGGCCAAATTACGCCCTCAAAGGAAAGGTGTTTTGTGTGTGTGTGTGTGTGATTATGGCAAAGCCTCGAGGGCTATCTGCCTAAGGGGAGGGATGCCTTCGTGGAGGACTTTCTAAGGAAAACTGGTTCGTATACACATTACACATGGGGAAAACCACGAAAACGCCCATGCAGCCAGCCCGTTCGCGGGATTTGAACCTCGGACCGAACTACCAGTGTTCAGCGACTTTACCGCTCGGCCGCTGGTAGGCCCAAAGGAAAGGTGGATATTTGTTACCCAGTCATGATGCTTCAAAACTGCATCTTTCAGGCTCGACATTATGCAGTGATAGAATTACTCTAAGTTCCAAAATAATATGCATTTGAAGAGGATGACAGAGCAGAAAAACCAAAAAAACAAACAAAAACAACAACAACAACAAACAAAAAAAAAAAAAAAACAGAATTTAAAACTACTTTACAAACATTGACGTCCATGTCAGATTGCAATTTTTAAAGAATAGTTTCACTTTGTCTCGTAATATTTAGATGTACAAAACAAACAAGGGGAGGACACTGCATATTCAAATTCGTTGTAATTGGCTTAAGAATTGAGTTTTACTTTGTAGATATTCACAAGAATGAGACATGTTTTAATATAGAGAAAATGTTTTATGAGTAACTTGTTTTATGAGTAACTGGCCTTTGGCTAAAATGATGGAACTATTAACAGGATGAGATGGGAAACAGTAAGTCGCTCGATTGAAATTAGCAAATACAGAAATTAAGCATCCTTTTCAGCAGTTATATCCCTTAGACATTGCACTGTCAGATTTAACCCTTCATGACAAAGTTAGAAATTCTTCCATTAAAAGGGCCAAATTACGCCCTCAAAGGAAAGGTGTTTTGTGTGTGTGTGTGTGTGATTATGGCAAAGCCTCGAGGGCTATCTGCCTAAGGGGAGGGATGCCTTCGTGGAGGACTTTCTAAGGAAAACTGGTTCGTATACACATTACACATGGGGAAAACCACGGAAAACGCCCATGCAGCCAGCCCGTTCGCGGGATTTGAACCTCGGACCGAACTACCAGTGTTCAGCGACTTTACCGCTCGGCCGCTGGTAGGCCCAAAGGAAAGGTGGAGATTTGTTACCCAGTCATGATGCTTCAAAACTGCATCTTTCAGGCTCGACATTATGCAGTGATAGAATTACTCTAAGTTCCAAAATAATATGCATTTGAAGAGGATGACAGAGCAGAAAAAAAAAAAAAAAAAAAAAAAAAAAAAAACAGAATTTAAAACTACTTTACAAACATTGACTAAAATGTCCATGTTAGATTGCAATTTTTAAAGAATAGTTCACTTTTGTCTTGTAATATTTAGATGTACAAAACAAACAAGGGGAGGACACTGTATATTCATATTCGTTGTAATCGGCTTTAGAATTGAGTTTTACTTTGTAGATATTCACAAGAATGAGACGTGTTTTAATATAGAGAAAATGTTTTATGTGTAACTTGTGATAATGTCTAAATCCTTTAAGTTAGTAAAGGTCTCTTAGTACAAAATATTTAGTTTACGACAGTAAGGATCTTCTGTATTACTTCTCTTGAGGAATTGCAATAATATGTCCTTTCTTTCAATTAAGATAGTGGGATAATTACCAACTAATACTTCTAGAACATAATAACTAAAAATTTTGCATAAATGATGTATAGTACTTGATATCTCAGGTATCAAATTGCATATGAGCTGAAAACACAACCTAAAAGAAGCTGGCAAACCAGATTTTTTTTAAGTGAAAAATTACACATTTTTTAAATCAAAATAAAAAAAAAGTTTGTAACTAAATTTTAAATTTCATTTACTAAAGATTTAACAAAACATAACATGAATGGTAATAATATTACAAATGAAAAATTAAATTATTCTGAATTTTTTCTTCTTTCACTATATTTCTTAATTTTACCATTTTTTTTTTTTTTTTTTTTTTTTTTTTCCAAATACAGCAGCTGCACCAGCACTTGCAAGTCTAACATTTTATATCAAATTAATTTCCTTTTATCTATTACTATTTTTAATTCAGAAAAAAATATCTTGTGCACAAGTTTTCTTTCATAAGAATTATTTTCAATTTTGTTCAATTACTTTAAATTCATCATTAACATCTCGTATGAAGATGACAAATTGTGCTATACTTTTTATGTGAATTCTCTCATCAATTACTATTGAGAATGTTACAAAATCTATGCTTTTTTTCTAGCTGGCATCATATATCACTGGCAATTTCATTATTACATTCTGCTACCATGTTGGCAGACAAACTAATATTTTCAATTGTTATTTGTAAGAAGAAAAAGAAGTAAAGCAAATTTAATCAAATGATCTTTAAAGAACTCACTATGGTAAGTGCAACTAATCTTTTTGCAAAGATGTGTGCAAGAGTAAATCTTGCATAAACTGTTGCTTCAGCCTAAAAAAAAAAAAAATTGTTACTATAAGCTAGATTTCAGACATTTTAATGTTTCTTGATTTACCTCCCAACATTTTAATTTTTCCTTTCTGATTTGTTTCTTAATGGCAACATCAACTGTATTCTTTTGTAACTGATATTCACATATTACAAATAAAATATAAAATTCTACTGCATTCACCACAAAAGCACTCGAAAAACATGTATAACTTTGTCCATGTTCGTTTAACCATTTGTTAAAGACATGGCTTGCAGTTTAGTCATTTAATTAAAATTATTATTATAATTTTATTTAGATCTGTAATTTGATAAGATGAATTTTGATATGAAACATTATTTAAATGTCATACACAGTTCTAAACAATATGTATCGATATAATAAAGATTTAATAACAAGCATAAATTAACAGGTTTTGGTTGGCTGGTTGTCAGTTTCGTAGGACGTAACCTTAAAGGTTATAATGCACCAGGTGAATGGTGAGTATTTTCAATTTAGAATGCATACAGATATAAGAGATAAAACCAGTTTTAAAATATGCTCATGTCTATGACACGGTGGACTAACAAACAAAATGATGGGAACATGAATATCAAATAAAATCAAAGTACATTAAAAAAATTTTAATATTTTGTGTATCTTCCAAGCAACTGTAAAACAAATGAAATTAAATGACAATATTCAGTTTCTCTTAAATATGAAAACAAATTAACATTCACTCTTTTCCGATCAAGTGATGACGACATATGTCACAGGTATTAAAATATTTCAAACGAACTTTTTTTAAATACACGTAGTTTATCAAGATATGACAGGCTCATAAAATAAAATTACACTCTGAACAAGTACATTCACTCTCAGCTTTCAGAAGGTAACTGTGTAGCCTGACAGTGTGATTCATTCTAAGATGAGTTACACAGACCTCCTCTTGCCGGTATTCCACTACCAATTTTACATATTTAAGTTTGTTTCTGACCTGAACATTCCATAGCAGCTGCCACTTATTTAGGCCTTTCCAATTGATGACCCTGCAGATTCCTCTAAATGGAACAAACTAACTGCAACTTGCCCATATTAACAATCAATAGAAGACTTGGTAGTGATGTCTGCCAGATTGTTTCCATTTATCCCCACATGTCCAGATACCCAGCAGTATAGAATCCGATATCCATGCCTCCTTAGGTTTAAATTTAGCTTCCACAACTACAGGGTTGTGAGTGTTGAAGAATGTTTCTAAAGCTTTCAGTGCACTATATAAATTATGAACTTTTTCTGGCATAGGCTAGTTATGTGTAAAGGGCACAATATAAAGCAGTAATTCAAAAATCAGTATTCAGAATCCCTTATGCAAACATTTACAATCCATATGATTTCCAAGCATAAAGGAAGTTCTGATAAGTGGCTACTTTTGAACCATATGTATATATAGGAATACAACTGCTATATTTATGACTGTGCTCAAGAAAAGCTAGTTATAGATGATCTCATTTGCATTTCTTTCATCAACTTGGCGGAAAACATCAAAAATCTATATCTGTGTAGTCTCCCAGGCAGGATTTCAAAGTGCTTTAGAGTATGGGCATTTACATCACATTACCCATACTCATCAATCAGGGACCAGACATTTGTAGGGAAATAAGACATGCAAGATGATCATGCTTCAAACAACTGATCAAACATGTCATCATGCAAAGTGATCTTATTGCTCTAGTTGTGACAGTATATTGAAATAATTAAAGAGAGACAACTGCTTTGGCCATGCAGACTTTCGATAGGAGATGTTCTAAAAGCTCCAGAACACATCATCAAAGCCTGATGATGAATACGATCTAGTTATAGAGCTTCCCGAAGATATAACCTTCAGGTTATCCACTAAAGAATATGAAAGAATGAAACCAACATGCATATTTTGTGAAAGCAAGTACGCTAGTGTTGATTGTTTAAATGCTCAAAAACTGACACTAGAAAAAGGCAGAAGATAGAAAAGGATAAGAAATGCTGTTCTGTGCACTCTGTTTCTGGTCATTCAGTTAGAAAGTGTCATATGTTTTTAAAATGTACCATTTGTAGTAAAAAAACATGTTTCCTTGATTATATAATCAATTGCAGATCTGCACCAAGGCCTAGTCAAAAGAAAAAGTTGACATTTCTTCTGGAATACAGATGCTGTTCGCACATTTTCCCAATGTGTCACCTATGGATTTTTGTGCTTTCGGACTTTTAAAAACTGCATTATCCAAACATTGTCCAAAAACACTAACAGGACTCTGGAAAGCTGTTAGGGAGGAATGGGATAGAATACCTCTTCTGCCACTTCAAAAGGCATTATAATCCTGGAAATTGTGGTGTCGAAAGATAGTTCAGAATAAGCGATGTCAAATAGAACATTTAAAACACAAGAATTTGATGTAACTTAGTTTTGTGAATACAATATACATCGTCTAAAAAATGTGTGAACAGCCTCTGTATATGTTGACTTATCAAATATCAGTTCAAATCCAAAGGTATTCCTTCAGACTTTTACAGCCGACCTAATCTCTGATGATAAAGAAAGAATAGTTTGTGTGCTATTTGATACTGGCTCGCACAGGTTGTGGGTTTTAAGGGTTATTGGAGAACAGATAAAATATCCTATAAGAAATCAAGAGGCAAATTAAACATTCTTTGCTATTGGTGTTTCTACTAAGGAGGATAAGCATAACTAGAAAATAAAGCAAGTAAATGGAAATTTCATTTGCAGTTTTGAAACCTTGGATCAAGATATATGTGAAAGTGTATTGCCAATAAGAAAAGACCCTTGACTGGAAGAATTGAAAGACCCTGGATGTTATTTTAACTGATACTAACCCTTCTTATGAAACTTTTAAAGTCCTAACTGGAGCAGATAATATTGGTAGACGTGATCGGCTGAAGAAAATATTATCCTCAGGTTTAGTTGCAATAGAAACTCGTTTTATATGGGCATTAATGGGTAAAATGCTACAAGTGGATACTATAAGAGAAAACTTTGCAATGATTGTAACATCACTGTTTGTGAAGGAAATGGAAATTGCTGATCTTTGAAGATTAGATGTCACTGGAATGAAGGGTCCTATGAAAAAAAATTCAAAACTGGAGACAGACCTGAAAAACTAAAGAACACTTCCTAGAAACAGTAAAATTTAATTGAAATAATTTTTACAAAGTTAGTTTGCCATGGGCTGATGAGAATTCTCCTTTGACCGATAATTTTAGTCTCCTCACGAAAAACTTAAGTGATAACTTCAAAACTCATGTCCAGCAACTTACATCACAGATATCAAATTGTTTTTCTGGAATGGTTTCATGAAGGAGTCGCTGAGAAGGTCCCTCCAAATGAAGTGATCTTGTACAGGAATTGCAAAACTACCTCACTGACCTGTCATCAAAGAAACCAGCAGTTCAAGTGCCATTTGTACAGTATTTGATGCATTAGCAAAGTTGCAAAACTGACCTTCCTTGCACCAGTGACACAGGCGACTGGACGACCGATATCGCGTTTTACCGTGGCCAGACGACTGCACGACGCCCTGTACGGTGTGTAGCTCTAACGCCTGCCCATCGGAGAAGGCGTTCTCTGTGGTGCCGGGAACACCGGAATTGGAGAGACAATGAATGGGGACGAGTACTCTTTACAGATGAGAGAAGATTCAGTCTGAGTAGCGATTCTCATCACATACTCATCTGGAGAGAGCGGGGAAGCCGCAATCATCCCTCGAACATCATTGAAAGGGACAGGTATGGAGGTGGAGGTGTTATCGTTTGGGGAGGCATCATGCTTGGTAGTCGTACAGACCTTCACATCTTCGACGCAGGTTCAATCAACGGGACCTGTTATTGTAACGAGATTCTTTTTAGAGGCGCTATGGGTCCGCAGTTCCTTTTCATGGACGACAATGCACCATGCCATCACACAGTAGCTGCCGAACAGCTCTTAGAGAGTGAGGATATTGAACATATGGATTGGCTGGCACGATCTCCGGATATCAATCCCATCGAGCATGTATGGGATTTTCTAGGCAGACGCTTGGCAGCTCGTACCTTACCACCAGTAACGATTCCGGAGCTTCGATTGGCGCTGCAAGATGAATGGGAATGCCTCAACAACTCATTGACACCCTCATTCTCAGCATGGGCAGACGCTGTGAAACCTGCCTAGCAGTCAGGGGAGATCATATCCCCTATTAAAGACCGGATGTTTCTTGCTGGACACCCATCACAGGGATGTTTCGGCCTTCAGACGCATTGTGCTCCATGCTACTTTTTCAATAAAGCTTCTTTTTATCCCTCTGATTTCTCTTTTAGTAAGTGTTGCTTACATTACTCATGTCCTTACGTATTAGGGATCTTACGGTATTAAATGTGTTGATTTGGAAAGCTTTTGTACAAAGTTATATTGAAAAAACCGTCTCGTCCTTAATTTTTGCACACCAGTGTATCACCTTCATCTTTAGATCAAGGAATGGAATACACTGGATGTTGATGCTGTTCACCATCAGAGCTTAAGTTGAAGGATCAAATACAGATAAAATCTGAAAAGAGATTTGAGAAATCAATTCAGAAATGAATACTTAGGGCTTCTCATTCAAAGGATAAAAAGTAAAGATTTTCCTAAAACAGCTGTTGAATATACAGTGCTAAATGGAACAGAAAACAGTAAAAGAACCAACTCGCCACTGAGACGAGTAACAGAACTTATTCTTGGAAAGATCGAAGGGTTAGTCTTGCAAAAATACAAATGCCTCGTTCGAAATTATTTTGTTCAATTCAGTGTGTGTATCCTTTACAGATTTCATTCACTAATAACATCCTAAAAGCAGAAAAAGTAAATTGTATCGATAATAGGGACTCAATTGACAATGGACGTATCCTGAAATCTAACATGAAAATATGTATAGATCAGGTAAATAGATAAAAGTTCCTAATAAACTGGATTTGTAAAAGTCAGACTTAAGATTATTTATGTGTTATTCTAATTTTGGCCTTTTATATATATATAATATATATATCCTGCCACGTACTGTATATTTGTATTCAACCTGATGTAAAAACATAATGCACAATATTTTTTATTACAATGTATACTCAGAAGGTGAGAGGATGTCATCTGCTTATTGAGTATTTATTTTGATATAGGAATGTTAGCTTTACATAAATGCAAACGATACGTCATTAATACAACTTGCGAGTGGCAACAATATTTAATTTCAGTTTATTGTTGTTTTGAAAGAATATTC